TTTCATTTCTTACATGAAATTATTGATTTATGATTTTATAAAAAGGGTTTACAAGAGGTATTCCCCGACATGGGAGTGTGTAAGTTATAAATGCAAATCGGTATAAGTTTTCGAAATTTAATTGCAATACCTAAATGATAAATAAAAAACTAACAATTCAATTCACTTTATTGACAATTACCATGTCGGCATACAGTCATGAACATTAATAACATAAAACAAATTAACACGATGAATACAAGCATATACAATTTTTTTTATATGATAAAGCTGCGAATGACAAAACGATAATTTTTTCTACAATTCGTATTTATTGTGTTGTCCACATCGTGCCTTGCAGCATAGATTACAGAAATCATCTGCATCACCACGGTGTCATAGATCCAGGGGTATTAGCAAATGGAACGTTTATCCTTTTTTTGTCATCTGGAGATCTGATTATGTCTTCTTCAATTTGATGATAATACATTCTTTTGATTTATCGCTGATTTCAAATCGATGAATAAATTTTACATGTGTAATTTGCTCAACACATGCACTAATTTAATTTTTAGTGCATTTATCATTTTGTATATTTTTAAAGCTCTGTATATAGTTTTGAAATTAAAAAAAAATCAAACTTTTTCTACTTTGAAATTTCTGTGCTCTAGGGACTCTTTCTTTTGAAAATACTAAAAAATGATTAAATGTTTGTTGCCGATTTGATACTTTGCCTCAATTTTAATTTGTTTCAACCTTGTTTCGCAACACCTCAAAGAAGGAGTTCAAGCATGGCGTAGGGGTCTTGTTGTTTGCTTTGGATTAGAAAAATTTAGATCTGCAAACAGTTGCATGGCTAAGCAAGTGAAAGTTTGTAATTTGATGTTTTTTAATGAATATTTACTATTACATATGTTAAGTTCCCAATCTTTGGTGGGTCAACTGTGAATATCAATAAAAGTATGCTGATTATGATGATCCATATATAACTAGATTATAATTAGTTGTTTTAATTAGTTTCTGTCATTTTTTTAAAATTAATGATTTTTTTTAATCAAGTATTTAGTCAGACCCACAAAGCAGAGCATACACTGTGTTGACAAGAAGAAAATTATTACCATTGACACTATTAGTGTAAAGTATCGGCAAAGAAAGGAATAACATTTATGGAGTTCACATTCCACATTCCTCTTATTCGCATAGTATTGTTTGATAAGATATCTATGCACTGATTTCAAGCTTTAGTTTCAATGAACTTTAAGTAATTGTCTATTGTTTATCAACACCATTCCTGTCAAAATGACCCTTTCCGTTATCCATCGTGCATTATGGAAAAAAATGTTAATATCGATCATCAGCATTGTGAAGGGTTGTCAAATAATGTTCTTCGTAAACAGACTATATAAAAGGGTGTGTGTTTGTGTAGAATGTTTCAGTTCGTCCGTTATATTACAATCTCAAACATTAACATGTCAAGCTTAAATTTCAAACGATGTTTTCAATTGTGGTTATTTGTTCCTGTTGCAGAGACATCATAACCGGGAATCTTGTTGGATGAAAGCATTTACCGAAAGATTCTGCTGTAGACCAGTACGATAAATAAAACTTTTATGCAGTGTTGCATTACTTATTACTCAGGATTTTTTTTTTAATTTATTCATTTATAAGTTGCTAAGAAACTACAAATTCTAGAGGTAATATACCACCTTCGGATGGATAGAATTAATTGTAGATTTTAAACATCTAAGGAAAATATCCTTTTATAAACAATCTTAGATTTTGAGCCAGAAATTGTAAGTTGTCTTAAAGTTTTATTAAAGAACACACATAAAATTTGCAATGTTATTCAGAATTGATGCCCTGTCAATTTAAATTTTCAAGCTTCAACATTTTTTTTATGATTGTAATTTTGACTAAAGTTTAAGATTGTTTCATGATCCTGGGGCCTGGACAGGTTTGATGGGTAGAGTAAGTATAATCGGGTTACTGGTGTACATAAAGCCAGCCTGAACGGGTTGGATGGGTGATTTACGACTACAAAACTGTAGCAAAAAATTGTAACAATGGATGGAAATGTTAGTACTATGAATACTGTAATTTGTAAGACAGATAATTAGTGCGGGAAATCGGCAGCTTAATTATTAATCGATTTCCTGTAGAACGTTAAGCCAAACGATAGTATAATTGACTAAAAGTACTAGGTAAGGTGAGTGTCAAAGTTGGTCTTTTATTGGGAATATGAATTTAATAACCGGTTTTTTATTTATATAATGCTGTTTGAAGTTACCTCAAAAATCAAAACCATGAGGAGTTATATAGGAATAATTTCTCAATGGTAAACTTCATTTAGCATTAAATATATCCCTAGGGGCGGTAATCCAAAAGTAAAGTCACTCACTATTGCTATGAAATCTTTGATAATGAGATCATTTTGTCTGTTGCCTAAAATTAAATATGAAGATAACGAACAGTATTCAATCTCGAAAGTCCAATGAATCGATACAAATTTTGAGCAGAGCAAACACGGACCTCAAAATTTAGAGGTGGGATCAGGTGCCATGGAGGAGTGAGCATCCCCTGCTCCCGGTCACACCTGCCGTGTGCTCCTTGTCATGATCGAAAAAAAACCGGAAAAATCCGTCGACAGTTCAGTGTAGAAATAATATTAATGGCCTAACAATTAGCGTGAAAAACGTCAGTCAGCATTTGACTCAATGATAGGTTGTTTGTGCTGACAAGGTCATTGTATCGACCGTAAAACTTGCGAAATGATGACTTCAAACGAGACTGATGATATCCTTGTTTCATCAACTTAAATGTCAATAGCTTGTCTCGTTTTAGAAATTGTTCATACGTAGAGCATGCTCTTGCATATCGAATCAACTGAGAGACATAAACTCCATATGCAGGTGATAAGGGTATATTGCTCATAAGTAAGGGAAGTTGACGATTGAAAAGTTGAAGTCATCACGTTTATTATAAAGCATTGTTGTTAGGTTACCATTAACGGCTTTTTCTAGTAAAATATCTACATATGAAACAGATGTGTCAGACTCTGTGGTATCTTTTATTTCAAGCTCATTGGGATATATCGAGTCGACATATGAATGAAAGTAACTATTTTTAATTGATAATACGTCGTCTATATATCGAAATGTCGAGTTGAAGGCCACAGCAACTGTTTTCTTCTCATGTAGAAGTTTTTGAATGAATTCGGCTTCATACGAATACAAAAACAGGTCTGCTAATAAGGGGGCGCAAATGGTACCCATGGAAATTCCAACAGATTGTTGGAAGACCTGATCTCCAAAAACTCGATAGATATTGTCAATCAGAAACTCAAGCATCTTTTTAATATCAACTTCAGAGTACTTGTGTGTACAATCAGAGGACTTTTTAACAAAATAATTTTGTAAATGACCAATGACAAGGTAAGTTACGAGTTCCATTTTTATTGAAAAAGCAGCTGTCCTAAAAATCATTCAAATAAATACAATACTTTTTTTAAATCCAAAAATGAACACAAGGTTAGGTTATCGCCGCGCGAAAACAAAGTCATTTTGACGTTATTTTTCGGCACTCTTTTCAGTTAATCCACAAATCTATTTATTTTCTCACATGCTTACTTATTTTTATGCTACAAAGCATCTCGCATTAATTTTTTTAATTATTCCAATTCCAAAGCTTATTTCCATATTCATAAATCCTGTATATCGTCAGATTCAAGAGAAGTGACATTAAAGTTAGACTGATCGTCTGCTTGCTTTCATCTTCTTCCGTGGAGAAAGTTGATGACCTGATTAAAAACCAAGGCTTGACGTCAGATACTCTTACTCCAAAGATGGGAAATGATAAACTTTATATTGATGAAAAAATACATAAAATCAAGTCATATGATAGCGTGTAACAGGAAGAAAGTGCATGGATGATCAGCGAGTCTTTAACGTCGATTCCTCTTGAAACTGATGCCAAGGGAGAAGATTGATTGATATTGTTCAACGCCGAGTCGGCAATATTTCAGCCATATTTCGGCGGCCAAAGGAGAAGAAATTCGCACAACGAAATAAATATGGAAATGAAGTATGGAACAGTTTATATAGTTTTAATAAAACAACTCAAAGAGAACTTGGCTATGTAGATTTTTAAAATACGTGCGGCGATGGACCAATGACAAAAAGTCAATGCGGCGATAGACGAAATCTAACCTTATGTTCATCTGAATAGTTTAAAACGTATCATACGTATTTGAATGACTTTTAAGGCAAAGTCAAAATATACAGAGGTATAAGTGTACATATAAAGGTTATATTGATAAAATTCAATTATTTATGATTTCATAGCAGTTTTGTTTTGTTTTTTTTTTTTTTTTTTTTTTGGATCAGCTCTTGTAGTAAGTGTTTATTATGAATGCAGTACTTGAATCCGTTGGAATAGTTCTATTACAAAGTTAGTAAAACCTTACGAAAATCAGGCTGTGTACAGTCTTCGCTAAGTAACACCGAGGCCGTTATCAGTGATGACCCTGGTGTGGATTAAATTTCGTTACGGTGTCATTTCTTTAGTAAACATGGGAAAAGGCTTTATTCTAGTGACTGTGCTTTTCTATAGCACAATTGGTGAGAAAATTAACGAACAAATATTATTTGAAATTTATAGTCATTCAAAGGCTAAGAGTTAATTTATTAACAATGTAAACGTTATTTAATATCAACATTTGAATGTTAGGTGCAGTGGTAACTTCCCTTTCTTTCTTTCTTTCTTAGTTCTAGGTTGTCAGAATGGTTGGACAGTGAACAAGAATTCTTGTTATCATGTCAGTCGCGATAGGGCTTCTTGGGTGGAGGCCATGGTATGATATACATTGAACAATAGCAAAGAAAAGAAAAACCTCGGCAAATATATTAATATTTTCAAAGTTCAGTCTTTGACATCTTAAAGTAAAAAGAATGAATAAAAATGATTCTTCAAATTGCTTAATAGACCATTCTTTTTTTCTTGAAATGTTACATTTTTTGAAACAGAGAATGTGTGAAATACACGGAGGTGTTTTAGCTGAAGTTGACAATTCTGAAGAACAAGCTTTTATAGAAAACCTGCTTGCAGGATTGCACGGTAATTAATCTTTCTCTCTGAGGATAAATAGAACAGTTGTATGTAAATAGCTGTCTATACAGTTTTGAATGCTATAATTAGTTTGTAAACTAATAATCTGCCATAAGGTATATTCTTAAAGATCGTTTGTACTGGTTGGGAGGGTCTGACTGGACAACAGAAGGCTCGTGGATTTGGGAAGCTACAGGAAAAGCAATCAATTATACCAACTGGCAGCATGGACAACCTGATAATTCCCACAACTTAGATCACTGTCTTGTACTGGACCGCCACTCCCATAACAGATGGCTCGACAGAGACTGTCACGAAGCTATACACTACATTTGCGAAGATCCGTATGTATTCAATATATACATGTACATCAAATAAGTTTTTTTCGTAACCCCTTAATAAATAAACATCATTAGTAGAATCATGCTGAATGTGTTTGAATTTACGAGAGTAGACTTTGCCTTCAACCTTTTAAATCGTCTCTGTATACGATTCTTTTTGCACACAAATTGATTATCTCCCACAAGTTGAAGAGAAAATCAATATTAATTTAGAAGAAACTTGAAAAGTATGACCAATTTTCCGAAGTATTCTCGTTTAATGTTCCATTTTGTTACTAAGCGAATGCTTTATACCATGTGTATGGTTGATATAACTATAAACTATGTTCTCAATTTTTTAAACAACAAATCCTATTCACAGTGATCGGGATCCTAGCTGTAATCATTTCACTTTGTTTCACACATACTAGTATATGACCGTGACTAATTTTAATTTATTTATCAAATAATAAAATTTTAAAAAATCACTCCCTGAATGACTGTGGAGTACCTGCAGCCTATACATAATTTTTAATCATTTTAAATATTTTCTTTCAGCGAGGTTGAAGGGTCCTCAAATCAAGGACTGGTCGGATGATCAGTTTTATTGTACAATCTAACAATAAATCTTTACTTCGTTGTACAGAGATTCGTCTACGGCAATTATTTTTCTGGTTAATTGATATTTAAAGTTGCATGAATTTTTCTTTCTTTTTTTAATAAAAAATAATTCAGTTCATTTTTTTCTGCAACAGTTAACATACAAAATTTAATTAGAAATTTGGTTTTTACATAAAATTGGACTTTTTATTAGATATTAGTGTATCTTCATTATGTGTTTTGTGAAATAATAAAGCAATTGGGATGATGAAATATGTTCAATTACTTAATAAACTAACAATGCACATGCAACGGTTGACAAATTGAAATCACGTGTTACCAGAAAATTTGAATATTAATAATCAATTCTAACAACTGGGAAAATGTTATCGCTTACTGCAGTTTAATGACAAAAGAAATAATTTTTGTTGCTGGGTTTTTAACTTGTGAATCTCTCCTCTACAAAAAAAAAAGATTAAAAATTGTTAAACCTCTCACAAATTAAAAGGTTTTGGTGTTGATTAATAGCATCGAACCTTTACTCATCAAACATATAATTAACAACCAGGAAAGAACAATTTTCCAATAACTCTAATTTTGCTAAGTAAATAGTACAGTTTGATAATGTTTTCGGAGTGGATATAGTTAATACTGCAAATACAAATTGTGAAGATTCCTAGCAACACTTAGTAACGATATAAAATCATTGATGTTGAAAGCACTTCAGTTAATAGATAGTATATTCAATCTACCGAGACAGTATTATTACTAGATACCTGAGTGATTTAATATAATACTGTTTATATAACAAACTGAAATGATTTAACGGATATTTCAACACTTACATGTATTATCATTTTGTATTTTACCTAGCTTATACATTTTCAAATTTGTAAAGATGCTTACTCCTCCATGGCACCTAATCCAACTATTGATGTTCTTGGAGGTCCATGTTTGCTCTGCTCCCGATTCGTATTGTTACAATGGACTTTTGAGCTTGATTACTCTTCGTTATCTCCATATCGCATTTTACAAGGAAAGGGGCACTCGAGGAGGTCTTTTAGGGAAAAAAAGATTTTTCAAGAAAAATCATATTAATTATTTAAATGTTTCAAATGGAAAACTGAAAAGTTTGAGTGATGTTCCGATTATACGCAACCAACCAATAGCTCTCTGTTCGGCGGATAAAATGGGAGGTGATATGTTAGATGAACAACCCACCAGTCGTTCAAGGCATGCTGTAATTTTGTTTTACAAGTTGCAAGTATGTGTTATCCCCTTGTCGTCGGCCAGCATGTATTTTTTGTGTCGCATTTTGCAAAAAATCCTTTTTTCTGTTTGTTTGTTTGATCAAGGATATATAAAGGGATTCTCTTGCATTTGCTTAATACAGATGAAAATGTTTAGCTAAAATTTCATAAATAATCTATTTTGCACGAACTAATACTAAATGAAGGTGTCCGGAAAAAATTTTCATAAATCTTTCATAGTAATTCACTTATGAGATAATTCTGTTAATTATATACATGTAATTTTAAGATGTATGTTAATATCTTATTTTCTTTTTCATTACCAGCCCACTGTTTGGCACAAATTAGATTATAGCAGACAAAACTTGTAAGAATATAGCCTTTGTTTGCATGGCAAATTATTACAACTGCGTTTTTTAAGAACTTGGTTTTAATTCCACATCTAGTAATCCAGTCTTTACTCAGAGTTCCCATTCAAAGAATTAAGTTCTTTAAAATCACCTTTAAGATTTAAATACGTTTAACATTCCAGTCAGTGGAAGTGAGTTTGATTTATCGTACCTATACTGGATTCCAAAACTTCATAAAAATCCTTACAAAGATATATTGCAGGGTCCAGTAAAGTTCAACAAAGCCCTTGTTCTTACTCCTCACTAAAATATTAACTGCTGTGAAGGAGAAACTTCATTGTTCTACAACATATTCAAGAAGTTGCGTAAATTATATGCGGATTCATTTCCTAATTAAAGAACATTTGGAAAACTTAAAATCTCGAAACTTTTCAAACATCAATAGCATCAACACTTAAGACTTTCTATGCTTTATACAGTTTTTCCTTGTGATAAATAAAAAGCAAGCCTTTTGACATTGTAGACAACTGCTTTCTCAGTAAAAATGGAACGTGAAAATATTTGAACATCTACTAAATTGTTTTGTTAAAAATCATTCTGATCCTATATACAAGTACTCTGAAGTTAATATTAAAAGATGCCCGAGTTCTTCGTTTACAATATCTATGTATTCTTTGAAGACCAGGTCTTCCAACAAACTGTTGGAATTTCGCTGGGTACTAATTGTGCTCCTTTTTAAGCTGATCTATTTTTATATTTCTTTGAAGAAGAATTTAGTCAAAAACTCCATGGGAAGAAAACTCTTGATGTGGCCTTCAACTCAGTATTTTGATAAATCGACTATGTTTTTTTTCAATTGACGATACATCATTCGTATGTTGACACGATATACTAGTACCCCAGTGAACTAGAAATAAATACTACAGAGACTGTCACATGTTTTTATTTGCACTTCTTACTGACTATAGATGATAATGGCCAACTAATAATTAAACTGTATGACAAACGGGATGACTTTACCTTTTCCATTATGAATTCTCCTTATTAGTCCCCTACCGGTGAAATCGGAGGGGACTATAGGTTTCCTCTGAGTTTATCCGTCCGTCTGTCTGTCCGTTCACTAGCTGTCCCTCTGTCTGTCTGTCAGTCTATCCCACTTGGTTTTTCGCACTTTTTTTCTAAATGCTTGCAGATATTGAGCTGATTTTTGGTATGTGAGTGATTCTTGATGAGCTACAGATCAAATTTGCTTTTCGTTACGCTTCAGTGATTTTTGACTGAATTACGACCTTTTCAATTTTTCCGGGTTTTCCGCAATTTTTTTTCTAAACGCTTGCAGATATTGAGCTGATTTTTGGTATGTGATGAGTTATAGATTAAGTTTGCATTTCGTTCCGCTTCATTGATTTTTGACGGAATTATGGCATTTTTAATTTTTAACGGGAACCAGATTACACTTGCCGGTAGGGGACTTGTATTGCTAATGCAATACCCTCAGAATGCTTGCTTATGTAGCAATATTCGAACATAGTGTTTATATCTCCTAACTGATTCAATAAACAAGGACATGAATACAATCAATTTTTAAATCGAGGTATGCTCGCCTACTGACAAATAAGATGATGTAACAAAGATTTCAACAACCCTATTTAAAGTCAGCATGAACTTGTTTGTAAACACAACCTATCGTTGGGTCTGTCTGAGAATTGTCTGAAATTTTTCATACTATTTGATAGGTCATTGCTTTTTAGGTGTACTCCGTCTACATAAGGCTCACGGCGGGGTCAACCAGTCGATATAGTTGCATATCTAGCACCTGATTCTACCTCTGGTGTTTCTAGGGGTCCGTATTTTTACCCCTTTTCACGATTCGGTTTGTTTAATAGATTTATGAGATTGATCATTGTTCGTAATCTTTACCTTTTACATCTCAACAGCAAATCGACTGAATATCTCTTTTATTCCAAAATGCAGGCCAATTGAATGTTCTAAAAATGGAAACAACCTTCTGTAAATTGAATTGAAGATTATAAAAACAGATACTTCAACTCCTTTTTTCTGTAAATATTTCATAACGGACATGAAATGCCTCAAAAAATGGACCTATTTCGTAATGGAATCAATAATGTTAATGATATTTTCTAGGGCTGGGACGATACAACTTTTTCTATATCGATGCGTATCCCGATATTTGAGCCACGATACGATATGTATCACGATATGTTTAATTGGTTATAAATTCTTTTTTTATATTGAAATGAACAAAACATTTCTTCACAAATAAGAATAATTTATTCAAAGAAGTTGCATATCTGTTGTAAAACTTAATTATTTTGCACAAGTGGTCTTAATTATTATGTATTTCATATTTATATTTATATTAAGCATATTTATTTTATATATTAAACCCAAAATGTTAAGTAAACAAAGAAAAACACAAGTCAGAATTTTTTGGGCGATATGTCGATATTTCTTCATACGTATCGATATGCGTATCATCCTCACATTGAATCGATATTATCGATATCTCGATATATCGTCCCAGCCCTAATATTTTCATGAATTGAAACAAAATAAGTTAACAGATGTAGCCTTTCGATTAAGTACAATGCTAAATAACTCTATCAGTATTAAGAAAAAACCCTTAAAACAATAAAATTCGAACAGCTTACTTCATTTTGATTTCTAATCTCTTTGTGTTGAAAAACTTGAAAACTTGCATGCAATATGAGATTCAATTATTTTCCAGTACTGTAACTCTTTCCTTAAAAAGAAATATATCAAATGTAGCTTATTTATTCGACCAATCCATAGATGTATCGACTTCACAGAATAGCATATTAATTTCGCGTTTTGTACTCGGTCGAGAGGTATTTCTTTGAAATTGACATATCTACGGATCGCTCTCTTAAAAGGCTAATATTTTTTCTATATAGTCAATCAAGGTAGCGAATCTATGATATTTTACAACATAACACTTTTGGTTCCATTCCATAATGGTCATCGATTTGATAACTATAGATAGACAGTTTTATTGGACGCAGCAAGTTCAAGCAGTGAAGCAATTAACCAAAAATATAGTTGATGTAACTTCCGTCCAGAGAACAGTCTTAAGGAATACAGTGGGGAATTTAAATTTTGTAAATCTGAAATCCTGCATGTCATTTGATCTACATTTGAATCATTTTCAAATAGATGTGTTTGAAAAGGTTTTAGAATGAAAGGATTTAGTGAAAGATACATGTAATTCAATTATGAATTAAACAAAGACCAGGTATCATGATATGACCTTTATCTCTTTTCAATCGAATGTAGACTTCCTTTGACCTGGCAATCATAAGATAGGACATACTACGTAACAAACATGCAGACAGCTGACAGGAAAATACTTGTTTGTACAATTCTAATTTCTACAGGTAGTTCTCTCTCTCTCTCTCTCTCTCTCTCTCTCTCTCTCTCTCATATAAGATATATGGTTTAATTTGAACTAAATATAGCTGTAGGATGTCCACCTGGGTGGCAACCATTCAGGAACTCCTGCTATCACGTGTCATTAGAGGAGGAATCTTGGATGGATGGGATGGTAATATGCGTTCTATTTCTCTTCATTATGTAGTACGAATAAATTTATTTACAAAATGCATCAAGCATATTAAACCTTATATTTGAATATTTATTATAGAAAATGTGCGAAATACATGGTGGTTATTTGGCGCATATAGAGACCGCAGAAGAAGATGAATTTATAGCTCAACAGATGCGTAGCTATTCAAGTGAGTTCGTTTCTTGGTATAGACTTAAAACTGTTTAGATAAATTGCAATTACATTATTACTATAATCCATTGAATAAATGAATTGTGCATCATCCAGGTAATTTTGGACAGTACTTTCAACCGTTTTTCATAATGCAAAACTTGGGATGACGTTTGATATAAATTTGAGAGTGAATAATTTAAATTTCATAGTGAAGAAAGAAATAGAAGGGTCATTCAAAAAGGTTTGTCTTCCCCAGTCCTTTATTAAAAATTAAATATAGATCACTTCAGACACACTTGTAACGGTTGACTGAATTCCTTATCAACCGCATCGTCCTTGAAGAAAAAGAAAAAAATGAATTTTTGAAGTTTTATGAACTTTTAAAATCCCCTACACGTGCTACTCTGTTGCTTTATGATGGAGAAAAAGTAAGTACAACAATGGATATATGAAACTACACTGTGCTAAACTAATAAAAAAAAATAAGCAAAAGAAAGAAATACACAATATGTATGGAGACTAACAATTGTCAAAGAAATCGTAGATCAATTTCCAGGTTGTTGAAAAAAATTTAAGGATGGAAGAGAAAGTGTTAAAGATGATGCACGATCAGGGAAACCAAAAAACTTGCTGAAAACCAAAGACTTGGTAGAGAGAGAAGGAAGGTATACTGTTAAAGACTTAGCTCGTTTAGTAGGGATATCAAAGGAAAAGGTTCATAAAATTCAAACAAAAGGCCTCAGATACAGGAAGATCTCTGGAAGATGGATTCCTCACCTACTGAATAAGAAACAGAGAGCTAATCGTGTTTCATTATTCAACTATTCAAAAGAGGAAAGAACGACTATTTCACTCTCAAAATCTTTCCCCTTGTGACTTTTTTCTGTTCCCAAAACTTAACAGACATTTAGCTGGTAAACGCATTAACTCTAGATCCAATTCATCAGTGAAGGGTCTGTCTAAAGAGGAGTACAGAAAAGCATTTCAGAAGAGGATTTAGTTATTTAAGTCAATAGTTGAAATTCCAAACACGTCCCTAAAACCAGGAAACATGTAAAGGCCCCCAAGAGCAGTGGCATCCCCCACTTATTTAATTCAAATCTTTCATCCGCTCATATACACGCTACCGTTTTCAAAACAGAGAAAATTTTCATCAGATTGAGAAATATTGTAGTTTAATTTTAGTTCTTCGAAAGGTAGTTCTTTCGATTCTTAGCCAGAGATGAGACTTGAAGAAATATGAGCTAACTGTCCCTTCGCCAAATAATTGATAGCAGAAACTGAGGTTAGAGTCCATGAAAAAAAGAAATCTCTAGAGGGTGAAAAATCCACTGTATTGTCTGCAGAATTTAATTGGAATGTAAAGCTGCATAAAACAATTTACATTCACCAAATGCACACTGTAATGGTCTACAACATCCTAATACTTCTTGTGTAACCATCTTTCTAATTAATAGCCATTTCAGTACAGGTGTACAGATTACGTAATAAGTTTATTAATTCTTTTCACTACAATATTTTCATAATGAAATAAATAGAGATAACGAACAGTATTCAAGCTCAAAAGTCCATTAAACAATACAAAATAGGAGCAGAGCAAACACGGACCTCCAAAACATCAGAGGTTGGATCAGGTGCCATGGAGGAGTGAGCATCCCCTGCCGACCCGCCGTGTGCTCCTTGTCATGATCGGGAAATAACGGTAAAATCCGTCTACAATTCAGTTTGTAAATAATGGCCTAACAATTAGTCAGCATTTGACTCAATGATAAATTGTATTTGCTGACAAGATCATTGTGTCGACCATAGAACTTACCAAATGATGACTTTAAACGAGACTGCTGATATTCTTGTTTCATCAACTTGTTTGTCAACAATTTACCTCGTTTTAGAAATTGTACATACGTAGAGCATGCTCTTGCGTATCGGAGAGATATAAACCCTGTATGCAGGTGATGAAGGTATATTGCTGCATAAGTAATGGAAGTTGACGATTGAAAAGTTAAAGTCATCACGTATATCATAAAGCTTGGCTGTTAGATTACCATTAACGTCTTTTCCAAGTAAAATATTCAAAAATGAAACAGATGTTTCAGACTCTGTGGTATCTTTTATCTCAAGCTCACCGGGATATATCGTATGGGCATCAGAATGAAAATAACCATTGTTCATTGACAATACGTCGTCGATATATATCTAAATGTCGAGTTGAATGCCACAGCAAGTGTTTTCTTCTTTTCACGTATAAGATTTTGGACAAATTCTGCTTCATATGAATACAAAAAAGGTCTGCTAATAATAGGCCGCAATTGGTACCCATGGAAATTCCAATAAATTGTTGGAAGACCTGGTCTCCAAAAACCACATAGATATTGTCAATCAGAAACTCAAGCATCTTTTTAATGTCAACTTCAGAGTACTTGTGTGTACAATCAGAATTTTTTTTTAACAAAATAATTTTGCAAATGTCCAATGACAAGGTAAGTAAATTTGCGAGTTCCATTTTTATTGAAAAAGCAGCTGTCTCTGATATCAAAAAGCCTGGACTTTAATTTATCGTGAGGAACGGTTGTGTATAAAGTTGAAAAGTCACAAGTTTTAAAGCTGTTGATTTTGGTAAAATCTTGTGATTTCAAATTTTCCAAAAGTTCCTTGGAATTTTTAAGTATCCACATTTGATTTACACCACTTCTCGAATATATTGTTGCACAGTATTCTTGAAGTTTCTCCTTCACTACTGTTAACATATTAGTGAGGAGTAAAGAAAGAGGCTTGGTTGAACATTTACTGGAACCCGCTATGTATCTTTGTTTGTAAGGATTTTTATGAAGTTTCGGAATCCAATATAGATATGGTAATTCAAATTCACTTTGGTTGTTTGGAATATTAAAAATATTCAAAACTGACATATGATTTTGAAGAATTTCTTCCTTAGAGAGGGAACTATGAGTATAAGTTGGATTAGCACTTGTAGAATTAAATCCAAGTTCCTCAAAGATACATTTAATGTAATTTATGACAATGATACACAAATATATGTTAATTACCATATTTCACGCTCTCTAGCTTTACAATAAATATTTTTATATTTTCACATATATTTTTAATTCATTTTTAATGTCCAAATTTTATGTATAATTTTCTTAAATAACGATTCAAATTAGCAAATTGTGATGGAGGAAAAAAACTAATATTTGAACGACTTTTCGTTCTACTAAGATTTTATGTAATAACGACTATGTTTTCTTATTCCGATGTAGTCAGCAAGACTTGGCTCGGTGGCTCGGACTGGGCAGTTGAAGGGACTTGGGTTTGGGAGCCAGATGGTAAGACACTACAGTATTCCAACTTTGCACCTGGAAAACCAAACAACTTTTTCGGTGAAAACTGCCTAGATAAGGAATATGGACTACATTATCAATGGAATGACGAGGATTGCGACTCTGAAATATATTATATTTGTGAGAGACAGTGAGTTGATTATACTGTATTTGCTTACATGAGTTTAATGAATATGTACTTTAACATGGAGGCATTACATCCCCCATCTTCGATAGGCGAACTAATTGTGGATATCAATAATGAAAAAGGTGACGATAACGAACGGTGATCGATCTCAAAAATCTGCAAATAATATAAATATGTGAACAGGGCATAAAACACGGACCCCAGGAAATTCCTGAGGTGGGGTCAGGTGCCTAGGAGAGTGAACAACCCCTGTTGACCGTACACACCCGCCGTGAGCCCTATGTACTTATCAGGTAGACAGAACATCCCGTAGTCAAATTAGTAAAAACAAAGGCCTTACAGGTAGTATGAAACACGTCAGCCAAAATATGACACAATGATAAGTTATATTTGCTAACAAGGTCATTATAACGACCATAGAATTTACAAATTGCTGACTTTAAACGAGGTCGTTGAAATCCCAGTAATATCAACTAATCTGGCAGTAGCCTGCCTCGGATTAAAAAAATTGATCGAACTCGGAACATGCTCCTAAGTATCGAATAAATCGGGAGACGTAAACACCATATGTAGGTGATAGCGGAATATTACTACATGAGCAATAAAAGTTAACGATGAAAAGATGAAGTCATCTCGTTTGTCATGTAATGTAGTTGTCGGTTGGCCCTTATCGTCTATAGTCACTAAAACATACAAATATGAAACATATGTGGCGGACTCTGTGGTATCTTTTATTTCGAGTTCACTGGGAAAGATCGGACTGACATATGAATGGAACAAACTCTTCTTAACTGATAAAACGTCGATGACATATCTGAATGTCGAGTTGACGGTCACAGCACGTGTATTTATTTTCCCATGTAGAAGTTTTTGAATAAATTCTGCTCCATAGGAATATAAAAATAAGTCGGATAATAAAGGAGCACAATTAATTCCCCTCAAAATTCCAACAGTTTGTCGGAAGACCTGGTTAAAGAAGAATACATAAAAGTGAATGAGGAACAACAGCATCTTTTTTAATATCAACAGAGTACATTTGTGTAGAATCAGAGTGATTGTGAACAAGGTTATTTTGTTTATATCTAATCACAAGATACAGAATTTTCCGAGTTCCATTTCTAACAAAGAAGCAGTTGTCAAAACCCTAGTTTTTAATTCATAGTAAGGGATGGTCGCTTAAAATGTAGAAAAGTCTTACATTTTGATGCTATCAACTCGAGAAAAAATTGGTGATTTTAAATTTTCTAAAAATTCTTCGGAGTTTTTGAGAATTCACATCTGATTTACACCACTTCTGGAATATGCCGTAGTACAGTACATTTGAAGTATTTCCTTTACAGCGGTTAATTTGTAAAGAGTAAAGATAGGCGCTTGTTAGAGCATTTCCTGGACCCAGCAATGTATCTTTCTCTGTAAGGATTTCTATGAAGTGTAGGAATCCAGTATAGGTAGGGTAGATCCAACTCACTTTAGTTGACTAGAATGTTAAAAGTATTAAACACTGAAATGTGATTTTAAAGAATGTTATCCTTAGAATGTTAATTGTAAATGTATAATCTGATTTTGACGGTTCGTGTATAACTATCTGTGATACAATTGTATATACCATTGCATATTTTCTGTTATTCAAACTTATAAATGTCATTTTTCACATCAACAGATACTTTGTAATTCAGATCTAGTAAACAATGAACACGCTGTGCTGATTTTATTATTAATATTGCCCTGAACTACACGTCCCTTCACCAATTAATAGACAGTTTTGTGCAGAGCAGAGTGTCAGCCACAGAAACAAAGCTTTATAAAGTTCGCATTCCCCTTATCCGCATGATTTTGTACGAGAAAAGTCTATGCATTAACTTCAAGTTTTAGTTAACACGAACCTTAAGAAATCATCACCAATCCTGACATAATGACGCTTTTATTTTATCGTGAATTATGGTATAAATTTTATATCAATCCTCGCCATTGTGAAGAATTGTGAAATAATTCTATTTTTTATGAACAGATTATGTAAACAGTGTGTGCGGGGGAGGGGGAATATGTTCTACTGTACTATTTCAAACTCAAATATTAACACGTTTAACAATATACTGTTTTCAACTGATACCTTGTTCCTTTTACAGAAACATCATCGGAAATCTTATTGGATGAATGTGTTTACTGGATTTTCCTGCTGTACGTCATTCAATAAATGAAACTTTTATCCAGTGTTGCAAGGCTTATTGTTTCTAGGTTCCTTTTGTAATGAATAAAACATTTTTATATCTCATTTGCAGAGAAACTACAAACTTCTAAACTTAATATACTACAGCGTATTTAACATGTAATGCACATTTCAAAACTCTTTAATATTTAAACTAAACGTTCTTTAATCGCCTTCATTTAGCATTTGGTTATGTCACTCGTTAGCTTTTCAGAAAAGTTTGGTCAAATATATGATTTAAATAATACAAATTATAAAATATTCAATATAAAAACTGCTCACAAAATTTAATCATAAAGAAACAAGGTTTATGGGAGACTATTTCTTGTGGTGGAGGGACATTTAGAAGAAAAATTTTCAAATCTACATATTTGCTAAATTTAATATCTTAGAACTTTAGCTTTTCATATGTATACTCAGAGAATTTTGTCCTTTATCGTTATTATATGCAAGGAATATTAAAATAAGTTTCAATTAATATTAATAGAACACTCAACAGACTTTACAAAGAAATGAAAATATATCGAAGAAGTCAAGATAAAAATTACACTTTTTGCCTGAAAATTGCATATTTTGACAAATACTAGTATCTCAAAATGTACATAACATTCCCAAACTTTTTCTGTCATTATTTTAAACCACACGATACTTCCAGGCGATCAGCACTACAATCATAAAAAGCTTGATACAAGAAATTATTTTATTGCCTATTTAGATTTTCATTCTCCAAATATGATACTTTTTAGTGCAAAAAAGTCACACAATAATTTACGTGCATTTATTTGCAGGATTTTTTCAATGATAAATCTTATTCAATTCAAACTATTTTACATAAAATACGATTACATTATATTTATGACCATGTATCTGTTAAAATATGATAAAGATAAAATTGATTAACATAAAAAATACAATTCAAGTGCAAAAAAGCCAGGTTAATTTTACCATTGCTTAATAAGATGCATACACTGACCCCCAGTTTCCTCTGCGATTTTGAGTCATGCTATACAAGTAATTATCTAAAATGTACTTCTCAAAAAATTCTTGGTTTAACTCGTGTCAGGGGTGACATACCTTAAATACCTTAAATATATCAATAATATTTCTAATGAATGTATCGAAAGATCGTGAGTTCGAATCTCGGCCGCGGCTGACCTTAGTCGATAAAAAATAGGTAGCAACTGTTCCTTCGACATACTCTCGGCACTTTGAAGTGAAAGTTGCGGGTCCTTCGGATGAGACCTTAAAAACCGAGGCCCCGTGTCACGGCAGGCGTTGGCGAGATAAAGATCCCTCACTGCTCAATGGCCCTGAGTGCCGAGTAAAAGTCAAAATTAGAAGCCCTTCACCGGTATACGGTGACGTCTCTATATGAGTGAAAAATTCTCGAATGGGACGTAAAACAACATACAATCAATCAATCAATCTAATGAATGTAGTATAAGTGTATCCTTTGGAATACTTTATTTCTAAGTGAGCTATGAGTAAGAATTTTACAACTTTAGAATATTCAGTATCAGTTCTATAAGTGAGGAAACGATTTTCGAACAATTACTTTCAATTAAAGACTCGGCGTTCATCTATAAACAAAGCCATTGCTATTTTGATAGCCCGTGCACTGATAATTTTGTCAGGATGGTGAACAAAAAATCGTCTTATCATGTCAATCGCGAGAAGATAACTTAGATGGGGGCTATGGTATGCTAAACACCGAATATTAAAACAATTTTTATTTGTAATTAATTTTAAATAGTAATGCTAAAATCAAATCAATAATACCATTTTTAATTTTCTTTAGCAAAGTTATGATTTTTTTTTAATTTTCAACTGTGAAATCTGAAAAAATATAGAATAAACAATCAAGTGTACTGAATCTGCCAATTGTATTTTTTCAAAGAAAGTATGTTTTAATGCTCCTATGCGATTGTGTATGCTAAAATTACTGTTTAATTTTAGTCTGAAAAGGGTGAGCATGACGAAGAGTAATCCTTCACATAAATCCTTTAACAATAGGAATCTTGATCAGGGCAAAAACAGGGACCTTTTCAAGAAACCCTAGAGGTGGGATCGTGTCGAACTGTCAGACCTGCTGTAGGTTTTCTCAGGTAAACGGAGTAGTCAGTAGTCAGAATTGGTGTCTATTCAATTCTATTCAATTTATTCACTCAAAAACCATGTAAATGGTACATGAGGTACATAAACATTTAAAACATATATACATATAATACAGTGGGTCAAGCAAAAGGTGAGATTAATTCAGCTAGCTAGGGAGAACAGACCATACTATTAATCTTAGTAATAAATGTACATAATTTTTTCAAAGAATCAACATCATTTTGGCACATAACTTCACAAAACTTCATAGTGTTTGGCTTAGAGCAAAATTTTTGGTTCAAAAAAATTTTCCTCGGTTGGTTTGAAGCATTACATTCTAAAATATAATGATATTCATCTCCTATCTGATAACTATCACATAAGCTACAAAATCTTTCATTTCTTTGAGTACCATTCCATCTACCTATTTCAATTGGAAGATGGTGGTTTGTGGTTCTAAATTTAACTAAAGTTTTTCTAAATTTACATGATAACAGTGTTAAATATTTTTCGCACTCAAAATTGGTTTTAAAAATTCTATAATTTAAACTTTTTGAAGATTCTTGAACTTCACTATTCCACTTTTGAATATACTGATTTTTTAATCTTTGTTTGACTGTAGCAGATATCCATTCTACATTATAGAAATATTGCTCATACCATATATTTGATAAACCACATCTGTCAAAAATATTTTGTACAAATGAAATCCAGGAGTTTGTCATTTCTCCTTTATCATATTGTTTACGTAAATACATATATACAATTCTACACAATTTGTTTTCTTTTTCATACACAAGTTTTGCCCAGTATTTTACCATTCTTGAGTAAATATTTATATATAATGGAAACCGTCCAGTTTCTCCATAAATCATAATTATAACTTGGAGTAGTACTTTTTAAATTCAATATATGTTTCAGAAAACGTAAATGTACTCGTTCAATAATATCAATATTTTCATAACTCCATATTTCACAGCCATATAACAATACTAGGAAAACTACTTTATCAAACAGATCCAATTGACATTCGAAGGGTAGATTAAATTGTCTAATTTTACGTATCACACTATACATTGCCTTTTGTGCTTGTTCACATAGGTGTTTTCTTGCTTTACATAATGAGCCTGTACGAGAAAATACAATCCCCAAATAATTAAAATCTTTGACTACTTCTATGACACTGCCATTATATGTAAAAATATTTTTGGTTGTCTACCCTTTGAGAAAATAAGTATCTTTGTTTTCTTAATATTCACACACAACTTCCATTTTTCACAATATATGTAAAATTCATTTAATGCTCTTTGAAGATCGTCAGCAGTTTCCGCAAGTATTACAGTATCGTCGGCATAAAATAAAATAAAAAATTTCATAAACAAAAACAATGTAGAACAATGGCCTAACAATTGAAAGGAAACATGTCAGTCAAAATACGAATCAATAATTAAAAAAAGACATTTTTTATCGACAATGGAATTTGTAAAATGCTGATTTTAAAAGAAGATTTTGAATGCGCTTTGACATCAACTTATTTCTCAGAAGTCTGCCTGGTTATAAATATTGATCAGAACATGCTCTTGCGTACCGAATTAGTTTAGAGAAATAGACTCCATATGAAGGTGGAATTGGAATATTACTAAATAACTTGTAAATCAGTTTAGCTGTTAGTTTTCCCTTAACGTCCATAGTCATTAAAACAAAATAAATAACAGATGTGGCAGACTCTATATTGTCTTTTATTTCGAGTTAAATGATATTTTCGAAATACAGGTGAATAAACTGAATATTGTAAACAGATAAAACGTCGTTATTATTTTTTCGTCTATAGAATGATTTGGGAGAGGATAAAATTTATTTCATAGGAATATAAAAACAGGTCGGCTCACAAAGGACCACTATTAGTTCTCATTGGAGTTCCAACATATTGTTAAGATCAGTGAAACTGTATGTAATGTCATACAATAGTTTATAATGTCAAAGTATCAGTACATGTATACATGTATGATGTCAAAGTATCAATATATAATCTCAAAGTATCAGTAAATATAAAGAAATATCAACACGTACTGTCTAATATCATCAATAAATGTCAAAGTGTCGTCAGGAATGAAAAAAATATCAGCACCTAATTTCACATTACAATGTAGCATTATTAATGTCAACTAATTATCATTTAATGAAAAGGTATTACAATATAAGGACAAAATATCATCACAGCATGAATGATCTGTGTGTGTGTGAGGGGGGGGGGGGTGTAGGTTAGGAAATCGTTAATTTAATGTTTTAAAAAACTCAGAGTTTGATTATATTTTTCAGAAATTTTGAAATAGGAGGAAGAAAACATATGTGCAAAATTTAAATAAAATATCTATTTTGTTTTATTATCAAAAGTCAATTTTAAATTGAGGAAAAAATAAGTGTAATTGATTAAACAAAATCAAGAGTTACCAGAAAATTTGAACACTAATAATTGATTCTAATTACAGGAAAAAGGTAACCTTTTACCGCAGGTTAATGATAACAGTGATGATCTTTGCATTGTGTCTCTCAATTTTTAAAATTAGATTGATTAAAACTGTTAACCCTTTCAAAAATGAAAGATTTTGACATTGATTAATATAGCCTCGAACCTTAATTAATCAAACAATTATCAACAAACTAGGAAATGCATTTTCCAATAACTTTAATTTCTATTTGCTAAGCAAACCAAACTTATTTTTTTGTAATGATTTTTATGTTTACTTAGTTTACACTGCAAATATAATTTCTGAAGACTCATAGCAACACTTGGTAACGATTGTAAAGCATTGATTCCTATATATTCCTATTAATTGCGCAGCTTCTTTAAATACATTAACGGATGGTGTAAGAATTTGAGATTTGTTTCAAGGATTCTTTTATATTGAATATCATTCTGAGCGTAGCTAATTCATTAAAATTTTGTAAATTTGTATCTAAATAAGTAATAATAATAATGTTCTATCAAGGACAATCAGAGAGAAGAAAATACATCATAATAACAAAGGGATAGCTATAAATAATTACAACTATCATATAATTTTTTTTTAAAATCATTTCATTATGGCAACAAATTTGATTAGTGCAGAACGACAGTTTAATTGGATGCAGCAAGTCCAAGCAGAGAAGCAGATGATATCAAAATAATAAATGAAAATATCCAAAACATGAAGAAATCTATAGCTGATGTTACATCAGTCCAAATAACAGTCTCACATTGTTTGTTATTTAAATGCATCATTTCCTTCGTATTTTTAACATCCATCTCTACTTCATTATTACTAACGGTGTCCATTTTGTTCGGATAACTGTCTTGTTGAACTGAATTGTTTCGAGAGCGACATTTTAATTTCCAAGAAAGTATTGTCAATTTCTTTAACCAGAAAGATATTTCTCTATCCTGGGTCCTTTCATGAATTCTTAAAGAAATTGCCGTTATAATAAGTATCAAAGTTCCAAATCCCAAAATAAGTATAATATATATTTCCAGATATGACGTAGAATATGACGTAGGCGGAAGTATACTAGTAACTACTGTCATAAATATAGACAATGCCAATATGACAGCAACTGAATATGAAATTTTCTCCCCGCTGTCGTTAGGGATTATGAAAGTAAACACATCCAGAACAATAAGGAAAAACATAGGAATCATTATATTTATAACGAAGACTTTTGGTTTTCTTTCTAACATTAATTCAAACGTTATCAGAGACTGGTTATCATCCATTCTGACATCAGCTTTGGGATTGGACAAGGTCCATTGTCCATCATTTATATCTTCATCGATCTGCATGCCGTTTGTCCCTTTTGTAAGATTCACTGACGAAGCATCACTATTCCAGGCTACCAGAATTATTTGGCACTTCTGTCGATCAAAGGGAAAATATGTAATGTCGATTCTACATTTGGTGTCAAATACTTTATATGGCATCCAAACTACATCTCCTGTACTAAACACCCGCAAAGTCATGAAACTTCCACCCAAGTTAGTAAAGTCAGTCAGGCCATTAAACACTTGTAAATCCGGCGTCCAAATAAGATCTTGTGGAAGATCAACATACATTGCTTCCCCATAAGATGACGGGGACCACGAGAGGAAATCGTCCCGCCACCGTATAGTTAGAGTACCGACAGATCCCATTTGCTGCTTAGCTTCATCTATCCCGAGAAGACCGGTCAACAGGAGTTCTACTGACACCTTTGTTGGTACACTCTGGTTCACAGTCGGACGTATATTCTTGTTGTACCCACTCGTCGTAAAGAGATAGGTATATAGATTTCTCATATCCGTTCCTGATTGTCCTGATACAAATTCCATTATTGTGTAAAATATCCCTAACATGATTAAATCTGAAGGCTTCATTGTCTCTCTTTCTTTAACAGCTAGTATTGATACAGATCCTCTGTATTTTAATCATTGAAAGCACATGCCGAATACATCGATTGTGTTGATTGATATACACAACAGTGCAATATGTCAGCATTTTACTTTGAAACTAACCATAATGTCCACTGCTTGCTACGTTAATAATTCATCTGTGTACATATACTGAACCCTGGATCACATTAAAATATACCGGTATTCCTGTTTAGATATATTATAAATTCCTTATATCATTCAGTGTATCTCTCATTTCCTCCAGGCAATTCCTTTTATAAAATTTAAAGATGTGAATCCAGGTATGACAAAATACTTTAAACTGATTCAAAAGAAGCAAGATTTAAGCAACTAAAGTTTCGAATGGTTTACTGCCTTTTCCCTTATCATTCATGGGTATATTTTTTTTTTAAGCATCAAAATATTTTTTTATCTTTTTTAATATATTCGATCAGTGCATATTATCTATTCAAGATATATTACTAAAGTCAGGTACTCTTCACACAATTGCTCCGAAGAAAATAGTTCCATTCATGATCAGTAGATACAACATTACAACAAATGTTAAGAATAATGATGTGTATTCAATACGTTAAAGAAAACAAAATTAACGTAAAAAGATTTTAAGAAAATCACTTTTCCCCAGAAAAGGAAATAAAAAGTTTTCATATTCCTACGCTCGCTGCCTCCTCAGTCTTTTTCACGAAAATATATAGGTCATCCTTCGATTGAAAGTGATAAATCTTTTCACCAATTATATAACTGTCATGATTATTGTTCGTTAATTGCCGTATATTTTCTTTTGAGTGAGAATATTAATCATTAACTGTGTGTGTGTTTTTTCTCTTTTTTTAAATAACGGAATGGTTATTATGTGGTTAAACACCTGCAATCGTAACTTCTCGGCAAAGCAACGTGATTTGCCGTGATTTGCCGAGCTCGTCTGAAAGGATCTTCGCACGTGTGTAAACCTAGTCTATTTGGTCTTGCAAGCACAGGTATGTGCACCGTTCGCTAGTGACGCTTAGATCATGTAGACTGGGTATCAGTATTTGCTACGGACATGAAGAAGAACTATACATCAGTTTCATAACAAGTGCAGGTTTTTTACTCAAGCCCTAGAGTGGGCTAGAGGGGCTGAGTTACCTAAAACGATGCTAGGTCATTGGTCTATTCAGTTTAAAAACACGAAAATATACTATTTTTGTAAATAAAAACATTTCTAGAAACAAAAATGAAGTCTATCTTCAAAACGTCTCTATATTCAAAATCTATATAAAGTGTTAAATGTCGGATTTTATTCTTTGACGAAGGAGTGATGCTACATGTACATGCAGTTTCCTTAGTACATGCATATTTTATTCAACAAAAGATGTTGAAACTCAGTAGCCTAAATATTATGTCATTTTAGGTTATTTATGGCCATTGTATAGTTGACTTTCTACAGCTTGAGTATCTCTGACGTTTTATCAGTAAATAGTTTTTTTTTTTTAATTATAAATCATCTGAGCACAATGAAAATTCGAATAAATTAAAAGTCGAATATCTTGGATATGGGGTAACCCATATCTATTCTTGTTCTATAGAAACACTGGCCAAAAAGTGGAATTGTCTTTGTGTTAAGCGGCCGGGTGAGGGTTATGGACCTCGATTGCAGGTTAACACACGAAGATGACACACATTTTATGTTCATATAGACGTGATATTTGTACTTCATTTGCAGCTAAATGTATAACTCTTTATAGATAACAAACGTACTTGCAACCTCTAGCTTTATTAAGGACACGCCCTCTTGTTTGTTGGGTATTCCACTTCCAGGGTATTAACGGCAGTTGGGCCCGTGGGATCATTTGCATAACAAGCGAAGCATATGTTCTGCATAAATCACCCCATGTTTCCAACTTTCTTTAATGTCCCTGGCATACCCAACGAACTATACAGTGATTTCTTATATTAACAATTATATTTGAAATAAAAAGGTAAATATAGATTTTATAAAAATGCTGTCTATTAGATATAAAATACACAATCGAAGCATTCCATGTTGATTTCCATAGTCTCCGCTAATCACGTCAAACACAAATGACGGCCGCCGGAAATTGACACACACATTAGGCACTTGACATTACGCTTCCTGAATATCGAGAAATCAAAACAGTTAACTTTCAAAAAAATATCACAGATCAAACAGTTGGAAATGTAAATATGGACAGATAACACCGCCCCAATCCTCCTTGTCAGTTTTTAGATCCTCTTCTTCTGAGATATGCAAGGAACGAATATTGATAATTCAGGGCCATAATTTAATTACATTCAGAATATTTAGAAAAAAAAACAATGAAATCAAGAGGCTTACGGGTCATAGTGCTTAACTCATCAAATTATGAAAAATGAAAATTTATCAGAACCTCTTGTATCGAAATTATCAATTACAATTCAATTTTTTAACTATTTGAATTAAACAATTCAAATTATAAAATATTTAATTTAAAAACTGCTCAAAAATAAATAGAAAATAAAGAAATACGATTTATATAGGAACTATTTCTTGTGATGGAAGGATATTTAGAAAAAAATCTGCAAATCTACACATTTCTTTACTTCATGTATTTTGGAACTTTAGCCCTATAAAATTATTTAACACGGAAAAATTATTTACAAGCATATTATTATATGCTTGTAATATTTAAAATAGGTTTCAAGTAATATTTTTAGAACTTTTACACATTCACTCAACGTACTTTGACAAATATAAAGATATATTGAACAGGTCGAGGAAACTATTTTCTGTGACGTCAGAATAAATTTACATGCTAAATAAGGCACCAACGTGACTGACAAACCGACCAATCGCTAAATGAGTTGCATTATGGGTTACTACAAAAAATACTACATGTACGTTTTAAAAAGGCAAATTTTTAAAATCCCTCTCGGAGAGACACGATGCATTTATCCAAGCATTTAACACACTTATTACATTCTGTACATCATTATCTACGAATTCCATGCTCACATTTACATACAGATGTTTTACAACTGTAACAAGGAATGAGTTAGGCTTCAATCATTTATTAAGAAACTTCTTTTAAAGGTACCGCTCTACAATAATATATAAATATATAAATACAATGACAGTTAATGCAGTATAAGACAGTTTACAATACTTTTTCTGTCTTATTTCTAAAAATTATATCCTTATTACACAGTTACATCAGTCGAATATAATAAATGAAACAGATAAATAATTTCATGATATTCAACATATGTGATACCTATATATATATGTGATACCTATATTTATTACTTTTCATTATGTACCATAATAATGATAAATATCATTCATTATAATATGGACATAAAAATAAAATATCATGATTGTCACATACCCTAAGTAAGGATTTGAACAGGAGGTGTACGTTGTAATTGAGCCAACGAGTAACACAATTAGGTTCACATCAACCTGTCATCAATAATGACATCATATTTACTATTTATCAAGTGTAAAGGTTTCAGTATAAAAAAAAATAATCTTGGTTCTAAAAGTGTAATATTTGGAAATATATTATACTTTGAAAATCTTGAATTACTTCTTTATATTCATGATTTATCTCTTTGAGAAATGATTGTAATAGAAACATTATAATAACTGAACTGTTTGACTTGGAATTGTTACATAAACAATGAATGAATTATAACCCAATAAAAATATCAGAATAATTAAAATATTTCATATTATCACATACACTGCATTGTTATACATATAAAAATAAAACATTTTATGCCACAATTTTACTTACATTGCAGAACAGTCCAAAAGATCTTACATCTTATTCTCTAGGGTGGAACAAAGCAAATATGGCTTCAGATAATTACAGGAAGTATGTTAGACAAAGAACATTATATTTTGAAAAATATATTTTTTTATCACTTTTTATCAATTTAATACTATAGTAATATTCCTAATAAACCAGTTTCTATCATTCAAAATATTGCTGATCTAAGATTCTGAAAATTTTAAATGAAACATATATCTATATAAGTATTAATTAAATGGACATTCTATGCAAGGTGTGACTGGTCATGTGGGTAAGCACCCGCTTAACAATCTAGAGGTCCCCGGATCAAATACACCCAGTGGCAATTTTTTTTTTAGTGCAATTTATTTTTATGTGTTTAAGAGTTAAAACAGTATCTTATACACAACGGTAAAATTTGGGTTTTCTACACTCCATTGTACAAGTCCGTTTGTTGACAATTGCCTGGCCGCTTTTCCCGTTGCTGCACTATCAGTGAATATGAATTTCATTTGACTATTCCCTGGTCCAAAACAATCGACTCTGAGGTGTACTCACATATTCTCATTGTTTACTACGACATATATGCTACCCAATACACGTTCTATGATCGATGTACATATTGTACATGAGAATTAATACTGTATAAAATAAATGCGGTGCAGCCATAAACATGTTTTGTTTTTTTTTTTTTTTAGATGTATTAACTTTTAATTTCTAGTGATCAAATAACAAAGCAACAACGAATAACACCAGTAGCATGGCAAAATTACGAATAGCAAGTTATAAAGACTGGATTCTTATTTACTTGTGAAGACTTTGTGAGCGGTATTTCAACGTACTATTTAACACGGAAAATTGACTTTGTTTGTTAATGTGAGCATGGGTAATCTTAATTAGTACCTATTCATCGTATTTTTCACAAAAAGATTAAAAAAGTTGACTTTCCCGCAGTCATTTGAAATCGCGTCTTAAATTTGCCTGACCCACGTGTTTGTAGTGAATATAAACATGTAGTAGACCATCATGCTTTTCTGGTCATTCATTGGATTGGACGATTGTTCGCTGTGAGCACCGCTGTGCGCAATTACAACAATATCCATATAAGGTAGATTCCCCGACCTGTTGAAGTCAAGATAATATTTA